GTCGAATACAGTTATTCAGCTATGCTTATGAGATTGGACTGAGATGCTACCTGTTTTCTCTTTCAGTTCAAAGATTCGGTTCGGGGCAACCGGTGTTCTCCTTCACTGAGGCAAGGCAGAAAAAGGCCAGTTGAGGCTCACTGATTCATCAGACACCAGTCACGTCCCCTCTGTTCAGTTAAGTAGACCCGCGATGACACAGAATTCGGAGAAAATTGTGGTCATGGCAGCGACACTAAACCAAGGAATCATAATACAGGGCGAGACCAATGTTGAAGTGCTGCACCCACCCAAGTCACCTACCGCGCGCCCGATCTGGGAACCCCAATTGTTTCAAGCTCGTGAGCCAACCACATTTGAGCTAATGGGAATGATTGGCGACCTCCAGAGATCTGTGGCTGATCTGGCCTATGGAATGTCGACTCCGCCACCAACCATATCGTATGTCGGGAACTTCATACCGCAGGAGCCCCCGCTACAGGGGCAAATTGTAATTGAGCTCAGCCAACCTGAAATTGTCTCAAGCTCCGGCAATGACATGTCAATGACAACGGGGCTTCGCACTGAAATAGCAACCCAAACCTTCCACCAAGCTGAGGCGAGTGATAAGGACAAGGTGAAGTGGACACTGATCCTTATGAACAACTCCAGCAAGCTGTTGAGGCCTTGAAAGCCGGGGAGTTGAATAAGCAACAAGTAGTCGCAGTTGTGGCTAAGACTATAGATGACATTTTCCCTACTCAGACCGAGAACAGTTCAAGCCAAAGGGAAAATCAGAAAAGGGACCGTCATGCTAGAACAGTTCCTTCCAATCCTAACCCTACACCTGGAAAAGATCAGAGTGCCAAGGCAGCACCTGCCGATCCTTTTGCTAGTGCGTCCAGCAAAGGTCCACAGGCTTCGAAGTATCTGCCCCGAGGTCGCAGGGTCTTTCATGCCCTCTACATGCCTTTGTCCAAGGCTCTTCGAATCCTCATTGAAAAAGGTCATCTCAAGCCTCTTGAGCCTCGGCCTCTCCCGAGTGACCTCCCTCTCTCACATGATGCTACCCAGTACTGCTCGTACCATCAACAGACTGGTCACACCACCGACAACTGCTTCCAACTTCGCCACGAAGTACATGATCGGTTTGATGACGGGGTCATTCTCCCAACGAGTTCAGCAAAGTCTGTCATCACCGGGTTGGTGGACTTCGAGGATAATACGAGTATGTGATCAAGGGTTGGTCCACTTGCGGGCGGCGCTCGGTTTACTTCAGATGTGGCGTATGGCACGCACTTTTACGCACTTGCGAATGCTAGTTTTCATACTTTCTGACTTGGGTATTCAGTCAGTTTTGTTGTCCTGTATGTAGTCAGTCTTTTCTTACTATGTCAGTTAGGTCTGTCTTGTTGTATCAAGTCAGTCCTGTTGCATAGGAGTTGGGTGATTCTAGGGGTGTTACCTCGGATATCACTATTTTATTTTGTGTTTGTCTTTTCGCTTTCTTTTGAGTTTGTTTCTGCCGCGGAGCCGGTTACACCAACAGATCTGAATGAAACAACAGTAATCTTCACACTCTTGTGTTTGCTTCTGCCTTGCACCAGTTGTGCCAGAAGTTTGAATGAACTGGCAGTGCTTTTCACCTGCTTCTTCTGTGCCTTGAAATCATTGCATTGACCTAAGTTTTTCAAAAACCTTTTTTTTAACGAAAATGAAGAGGGAGGAATTCCTCGGGTTTTGCATAATTTGATCAAACTGAGAGAAATAGAGGCATGCTAAGCCCTTAATGAATGAGATCATGTTTGTTAATGTGAGTACTGAGAAGGATCCTGGCTTGATCCAGATTGGTTCTACTTTGTTTTCAGCGCGAGCGATTTGTCGATTTCTTAAAAGATTTCAAAAAAAAAAAATGTTTTGCGCCGTCTTGCGAAGACCTGTGTGGAATCGCTCTTGAGATTGTGCAGCCTAGGATCGCTCTCAGCCCCGAGACTCGGCCCCTGGCTTTCAAACCTTGAACTTGGATTCAGAATGTTCAACGGTCAACCACAATGTGAGTCTTGCATAGCCAGATCAGAAGCAACATTTGAACTAGGGGCAAGTAGATCAGATGTTATCAAAGGAAGCTTGCGAAGCCAAATCAGAAGTAACCCTTGAACTAGGGGCAAAAAAATGTCAGATGTGCTCGAAGAGTCAAAATTGGGACATTTCTCAAGTCAACGAAGATCGACAAGAATGCCAAATCCCAGAAGGAAGGAAAGAATAAAGTATTGTTGAAGGACGATCGAGTTCCTATCCGCAACACTAGGGGCAATTTAGCCTCCATCGGATGGACTTTTACAGCATCAACAAACAGCGGCCACTCTCCTGGATTCAGATGGCTTTGAGATCCCAAAACCATTTGACATGGACAAAGCTACACTTTTACCCTTGAGAGGCTCGCTGGGGCGAAAACCTGGAAGGGCGACCCAGGCAAAAGTTAGAGCAAATAAAAAAGAAAAAAAAAGAACAAAAAAAAAAAAAAGAAGAAAAATGCAAAAAAAAAAAAAGAAATGAAAAATTCTGAACAAAGAAAAGAAAAGAAAAAAAGAGCTCGCAAGGTTGAAAACCCGAAAGGGCGGCCTTGGCAAAAGTTAGAGCGCAAAAGGAGAGGTCAAATACCCGAGTGTACCTTAACCGGAACTACGTAAGGCTTGATTCCCATGTTTGGGATACGTAGGCAACTTCATCCTAAAGTCCAGCCATAAACATTTCCAAATCAATTGTGTCCATGTAATGGTTCAGATTATCTTTGTCATTTTTGTATCCGAGAGTTCGGTTGTAATCGTCACTTTGAGGACTGATTACAGTGTGCTGCAGCGCTATCCAAACAAGGGGCAACTTTTCGTTGCCATGTAGTGCCATTAAGATAGGGGGCAATTTTCCATTGCTTCCGATTCCAGGTTGTGCATCTCAAGAATAGGTTCCGTGCTCGTTGAGCAATGACCGTTTGCAAAAACAGTTTTTGAGAATTCTTATTGAGGTTGACTAATTTTCTTGAAAATTATTCCGTTTTTCTAAAACTGGACCTTTTCTTGGACCCAAAAAAGAAAATTTTCAGTGCCCACAATCCTAACTTGCATGATTTTAAATCAGAAAATCGAACAAGTATGTTAATCTAACTCTCATGCTGGTCAAAATTGTTTTAGTAGAAAGCCAAAACAAAAAAATGGTCGAAATGGTGAACTAGGGGCACAGTGGAGTCAGGTGTTCTGTTTTTTCCCTTTCATTAATGCATTTGCCAGAAAGGGCACCATACTTGCCGGAAAAGGCACCGTATTCGCTAGAAAGGGCACATCTCAAGCTGTCAGCAAAGGGCCGAAAGCTCTCCCATCCTCCAAGCAGCGATGTATCAAGCCAAGTGCGAAGCATGAATTGAAAATAGAGCAGGGTATTCCACTCCCTCATCTGGATAGATCTAATCACATCCAAACTCTCCAGCAGAACATCGTCAACCGATGTTAGCTGCAGATTTGCCACACACCCAATTGTAGCGCAACCCCTCTGTGGGAGGAACTCACTAACTGTGCGCAAAAGAAGAAGAATCTAGCGAAATGCTAGGGGCAAGAGCCCGCAACTTCTTTTTTATCCACCAACCACCCAGAGGAGGGATAAAAAAATGAGAGATTGAAGAATAGAGAGATGTGCGCTGAGATAAAAAGTGAGGAAAGGACTTTTTCAGAAAAACAGAGCCTGAGGGCCGAGTGATGTGAGATCACAAATGAGAAAGGGTGGGAAACATTACCTGAAGAAGCTGTGGGCTCCTTGTGAACTGAGAAGTCTCCCACTGGTGGTACACATCCGAGTGTTGTGTTTGTTGTTTTTGTTTGTTTCGATTCTTGTCTTGAGTCATTTTGAGTGTCATTAGATGAGTTTAGGTTGTTTACCTTGTCTTTCCTCTTTGTTGAGTCATTTTGGTTGTGGTCAGTCGTAGGCTCAATACCCGGTTTAGAACACTTTTCTCAGTTCAATTTCAAAAATAAATCGTTTTGCGCTTAGAGTGCTGTGTCATTCTCCACGTTTGTGCAAAACAAGATTCTTTCTTTCATAAACCACAGGGTTCAAACCAGGTCATGTGAGAACAGCCGGACAAGGACCTATCTGAAGCTATATGGGTTCTAAACTGCGAAGCAAGAGAAAAGAGGGAAAATTTGGAACATCTCAGTGTGTTTCAACTCCAGCAAATTCCGAGGCTGTGTTCCAGGTACATCTTGTTAGGCTTCGCCTTTCTCTGGAGTATGAGTGTATCTCGACCCCAAGTGTAAGCATACTTCAAGTCAGAATGGCAGTCCAAGTGGCACCTATGGTTTTCACATGCAAATGTTATCTCTTGCCAATATAAATAGGGTGTACCCTTTTGAGCTAAGTGTGTTGCAAAGTACATGTTTGATGCCCCCCCTACTGCATAGAATGTGCACTTTCATCTACACTTCTGTTGCACGCATGCTGCGCATCATTATGATTCTTACATAGAATATGCTTTCAATATTGCATATGATATACCTGTCTATTGCGTAAAATGTGTTTGCTTTCAATTTTGCATAGAATATGTTTTTCTTGTCTCATGCGTAACAAAAAATAATGTATTTGCTTATCGAGTTGTTGCTCATTTGTCTATCGAGTTATTGCTCATTTGTTTATTGAGTTGTTGTCCATTTGTTTATCAAGTTGTCGCGATTTTGTTTATCGAGTTGTTGCTCTTTACTTATCGAGTTGTAAACTTGTCAAAATCTTTGCTTTGCTTATCGAGTTGTATTTACACTTGGTTAGCTTATCTAGTTCTTTGTTTTGATTATCTAGTTATTTTTGTCGTTACTCGGTTCACTACCTGATTATTACGATGCAAGTGCTTAATTTTCAAACAAAAGTTCAAATCTCATTTACATTGTTATGCAATGCGATGCGATGCGATACGTAGAATAGACAAATGTAACACTTTTTGAATGAAACAGTTGTTTCATTTCATCATGTCTTTTGCAAAAAGTACACAGTTTTGAGGAAAGTAAAACCTACCTGAGACAGTACAATGTGCGCAAACTACTAGTAAAAAGAAAACTAAAGCAAAAAAGAGGAGAAAAACAACAAATGTCTGAACAAAGCAAAGAAAAGAAGAAAAGCAGCAAGTGTCTGGATCAGTATCAGTCATCTCGAACACGGGAATCCGTCCTGGTCCTCTTCCTGGACGAGGGCCCAGGATCACCACCGCCGGCTCCGTAGTCAGAGCCTGAGATGTCTCCGGCCTCACCCTGGGACGACGCCGTCTCCTCATCAAAATCATCGGGGGAGGGCTCTTGTGAACTGATCTCAGCACGGGTGCGCCTATGTCTGCCTCGGCTGTGGATAGTCATCCTCCGCCTGGCTCCTCCTCCTCCTCGAGCAAGAACAGATGGTCCAGCTGGAGCACCTCCCGCAACCGGAATCTAGAATAGGGCCTGGAAAGGACAAATAACAAATGCATCAGTCATGCTACGCAAAACAGTATATAAATGTTGTGAGCAGTGTATCAGTACAGAATGCAGTGTATGAGTCCAGTGTATGAATGCCGTGAGCAATGCTGTGAACAATATGTGGGTTACAGTGTATCAGTGCCGTAAGTGCTGTGAATCAAGTGCCGTGTTGATAGTGTGGTACATCAGATTATGTATGAAACAGATCAGGCAGAGTTTGAGACTGCGGTTGAAAGAACTTACAGGGATATTGTAGATGGTCAACAAGCCGATGCACTACTGCAGCATCTCCACCGCTGAGGCTGTCAACTCCAGGGACTTGCGAGTGTACTCGATGGAAGCCTGCAAAAGTGTTAAAGTCATTAGTATTCTGTGGGATATCAAATGAATTGAAATGACTGTACAGAATGCAAAGTCTAGCAGTACATACCAGGGTCGAGCTATAGACTCTGACAAGCTCATAATCAGCTGGAGGAGGAGCGAAGGGAATTTGATAAGTCTCCCCACCCTGTCCTCTGCATATGATCGTCGTGGGCAGCTCTGGCCATCCAGCTCCCTGCCCTCTCCGGGACCCACTCCTGCCTCGGGCTGGAGGTGCCCTCGGTGCCCCCGTTCCCGCTGCTGGCACCGCTGGCCTCTCTCGTTCTACTCGACGAGCACCAATCAAAGGCCGCATCAGATAGACTTGGATGTACTCGGCGTAATCGCCCTCGTCTCTAAAGCCCTCAGAGTCCCAGCCGATGGTGTAATCCATCATCTCCTCGGAGGTATACCTCTCAGTATACCTCATATGGGTGGGAGGCGGCCTCGGGACTACCTGCTCCGGTAAGCCGAGGGTCTGCCGCAAGAAGTGCTCACCCAAGTACCAAGCGCGGTAGACTGGGCCCTCTAGCAGGACTCTGAAACGGGCAGTCTCTCGAGCACCGGCGTTCCGCTCCCAAACTGCGTCAGGCAATGGGGCCCAAGGCTGCCAGGTGATCTGCAAATAAAACACAGTTTGTTATCTACTGATATTGAGAGTACAAAATAAAGTGAAGCTTAAATAAACTGAAATGTTTGACATTCCTCAGCTGCGGTGATGGTGTCAAAGTAGCGGCGGAAGAATATGAAGGACTCCCGTGGCCTCCACTCGCATCTCACATCGAAGCGGTGAGAAAATAGAACACCGAGAGGAATCTCCTCATCTGGCACTAGGGCGAGCCTAGGGAAGTAGGCATACACCCACAACTGTATAATGTGATAGAATAGATATGAGTATGCTTATCAGACAAAGCAGTATACAAATAAAGCAGAGTGCGGTACGTGCAGTGTATTGTGCAGTGTAGAACCAGTGTAAAGCAGATTGCGTGCGCGCAGTGTGTGTGATGTACAAATAATGAAAAACATAACTGAAAAGACAGAAAAGGGAGCATGTACCTCCCAGGCTCACCAGTAGCCTCCAAGCAACTGCCCGCTGAGGCGGGAGGATGAGCACATGTATCTGTAAAGAGTGGCCAAGCCCGCGCCACCCTAGTCATAGCGGCGGATCTGTGTCACGTCCACTAATGCGCTCAGCAAGTAGAAGGCGACGGTGTTCGCTTAGTCGGTGAAGAGTGTGGTCCCCAGCAGAACATAATAAAGCCATGGGCATACTGCTCCTCCTCCTCCCGAGTAGTAGGCGCTTGGATCCAGAAGTGATCCGCGAACCATGAGTACCTCACAAATCCTGCCTGAGCAAGAGATGGCTGAGTGCCGAGCAAGTATAGCTGAGCGGCGTCCCACTCATCCATATCTGTGTCAAAGGGGATCGGATCACCCCCTACTCCGATGCCTGTGAGCATGAAGAAGTCAAAAGGAGTCATCGTCATCTCCCCGGTGGCAGAAAGGTGGAAGGAGTCGGTGGTATCCCACCACCTCTCCACCAGAGCAGCAAGAAGGGGCCTACTCGCAGTGAGGCGCGAGAGTCCCATGCAAAAAGTCCCAAAGCCGGCCCGATCGACGATATGACGGACCGCATCTGGTAGCTCCATGTACCAACCTCGGGCGGCAGTGTTCCCATACCCCCGGAAGGCATGGGAATCTCCCTGTGTTCAAATAAACAGTTGCGAAGCAGTGTTAGAAATACAGTGTTGAATGCGCTCAGAATTGATGAAAATTCAGTGTGCGTGCAAGTGTCCGAGTCTACACAGATATTGGGTGTGGGTGTGCTCATAGTGAACTACAACATATGATGTATCAGTACGTTTGAATTGTTCAGTTGAGAATGCAGTGTGTGTGCATGAGTTCAGATTTAACCAGATATCGGGTGTGGGTATGCTCATAGTGGACTACGACATGGGATGTATCAGTGTGTCTAAGTTAAGCAGTTAAAGAACAGAATCGACTATCGCAGTTATGTGTTCTACATTGCAGAAAATGAAACAGAGGAAGAATGTACCTCAGCGGCGCCGTAAGACAGATGTGACTTTGGCTCGCGCAACAAAAACTCTAATGGCGTGCCCTGCGCATAGCTCCTGAAGTGACGGAGGCTGTTAGGAGGGAGCATATGTATCGTCGGTCTGTAGGTCACCGGATCAAATGATCGGACGTGAAGGGGTAGGAGCTCGACCTCGGGGACCACGTCTATCTCTAGAGGACTCCCACCCTGTGGAATGTCGTCAGCCATCTCAAGAAAAGTGCGAAAACGGCCGAAAGTGTCAAAAATGGGCAAGAATGTGAAAAGTCAACCCAAAAGTCAACCCCGAGAGGGTGAAAAATGGGAGAAAAGGCCAGGGTATGGAAAAGGCACGAAGATCGAGGTATGACTCGGGAAAAACAAAACCCAAATGGTGGAAACCAATAAAAGGGCACCGAAACCAAGATTTGTTCTGTTTAAAGTGTGCGAAATGGGGAGAGTTCTGCGAATCGAACGATGGAAAAGGGTCGAAAACAAGAGAAAAACACGGATCGAAGGAAGAAAAATCACCTAGGAAGAGAGGGGAGGGATTTTCGAGCTAGGATGAAGTGGAAATATAAGGTTTGGAACCTTATATTTAAAGACGCGTGGCCAAAGGACAAAACTGCCCCGAAACTGCCATTTTTGGCCGGTCGGCCAAAATTGTTAGCCGATCGGCTAAATATTTGGCCGATGAGCTTATTTTATGGCTGATGGTTGGCCGGTGGCCTCCCCTTGTGGTCAATGCACCTCCCACACCCTTGTTGGGTCAGATATGATGTTTGGGACCTTCATTCCTCAAGAAAGTGTAAGAAAATACACTGTTAAAGCTCAAACTGGCCTCCGTGTCAACCTCAAATCAAACCTTCCGTGTGCGATGCTCGGTACGCGTATGATGTATCCTTTTTCGTATCCTTTTTGTATCTTGCGAGATTCAAAAATTTCTTTAAATGCGTTGTATTACAATGTTTTTGTCGTGCGTTGTAGCGCACACCACGTTTGCATTGTTATGCACGTCTCTATAAGCGTTGTAGCGCGCACCCCTTGCATTGTTATGCACGTCTCTTTGATCATTGTAACGCGTGCCTGTTTGCATTGTTATGCACGTACTATATGCATTGTCGCGCACGCTATGCTCGCATTATCATGCACATCCCTTAGGTCGCATTGTCTTGCGCCCCCTCCATCCGTGTTATTTCGCGTGCCTCATTCGCACCATCATACACCTTATCATATTACATGCATTGTCATGCATTTCAGTACATGCATTGTCATGCTTTTTAGTACATGCATATTTTATCTGCATTGTCATGCATTTCAGTTTATGTGTTGACATGCACGTCTCATTTGCATTATCATGCACTTCAATAATTAGCATTGTCATCCATATTTCATTTGCATTATCATGCATTTCAGTTCACATGCATTATCATGCATTTCAGTTCACGCATTGTCATGCATCTTCCATTTGCATTGTCATGCATTTCAATCTTTCGCATTGTCATGCATCTTTCATTTGCATAGTCATGCGTTTCAATCTTTCATATTGTCATGCATCTTTTATTTGCATAGTCATGCATCTCAATCTTTCGCATTGTCATGCATCTTTCATTTGCATTGTTATGCATTTCAATCTCCCGCATTGTCATGAATCTTTCGTTTGCATTGTCATACATTTCAACCTTTCGCATTGATATGCGTACACTTAGGTTGCATTGTTAGACACCCCTTGCTTGCATTATCACGCATGTTTTACTTACGTTATCATGCTTATTTCAGTTGAATTGCTATGCACCCCTTACTTGTGTTGTCACGTACACTTGTTGCATTATCATGCACCTTTTTACTTGCGTTGTCACGCACGTCCTGCTCGCATTGTTATGTGTACACTTAGGTTGCATTGTTATGCATCCCTTACTTGCGTTGTCGCGCATGCTCTCTCTTGCATTGTTATGCACCCACATTTAGTTGCGTTGTCACGCACCTTTCACTTGCATTGCTATGCATGTTTCTATCCACATCATATGTTCATGTGTTTATCTCCTATTGAAATGATATCTTGATTTAGCGAGGAACATGTGTTTTTACTATATTGTACCTGTCGAATTTCTTTCTTTTGTAGGCACGATATTGTATGTACGGTTCAATCAAAGGTAGTCCCGGTTCAGTTCAACTGTTATACCCCTTTCTCCACTCGCGTGCCACGTTTGGACGTAACCCCTTTCTCCACTCGCGTGCCGTGCTTGGACGTAACCCTTTTCTTCACTCGCGTGCCGCGTTTGGACGTACACCCCTTTCTCCACTCGCGTGCCGCGTTTGGACGTAACCCCTTTCTCCACTCGCGTGCCACGTTTGGACGTACCCCTTTCTCCACTCGCATGCCGCGTTTGGACGTACCCTTTTCTCCACTCGCGTGCCGTGTTTGGACGTACCACTTTCTCCACTCGCATGCCGCGTTTGGACGTATACCCTTTCTCCACTCGTGTGCCGCGTTTGGACATATACCCCTTTCTCCACTCGCGTGCCGCATTTGGACGTACCCCTTTCTCCACTCGCGTGCCGCGTTTGGATGTACCCTTTCTCCACTCGCATGTCGTGTTTGGACATACCCCTTTCTCCACTCGCATGTCGCATTTGGACGTATACCCCTTTCTCCACTCGCGTGCCGCGTTTGGACGTATACCCTTTCTCTATTCGCGTGCCGCGCTTGGACGTACCCCTTTCTCCACTCGCGTGTCGGGTTTGGACGTAACCCGTCTCTCTACTTGCGTGCCGCGTTTGGACGTATACCCCTTTCTTCACTCGCGTGCCACATTTGGACGTAGCCTTTCTCCACTCGTGTGCCATGTTTAGACATACCCCTTTTTCCACTCGCGTGCCGCGTTTGGACGTATACCCTTTCTTCACACGCGTGCCGCATTTGGACGTACCCCTTTCTCCACTCGCGTGCCACATTTGGACGTAACCCCTTTCTCCACTCGCGTGCCACATTTGGACGTTTATCCCTTTCTCCACTCGCGTGCTGCGTTTGGACGTAACCTTTTCTCTACTCGCGTGCCGCATTTGGACGTAACCCTTTCTCCACTCGCGTGCCGCGTTTGGATATACCCGCACTGTTATGTGCATCGCGCTTTCTTACACAGTCCTTTCCTCTCATGTGTGTGCCACGCTGAGAGATGCTCTCTTTCCTCTCATACGTGTGCCACACTGAGAGATGCTCCCCTTCCTCTCATGCGTGTGCCACGCCGAAAGATGCTTCATTTCCTCTCTTGCATGTGCTACACTGAGAGATGTTTTGTTTGGAACTTTGGGTGTCCTCGGTAGTCGCTTTTAGTCTTCTCCGCGTGAAACGCACCGAGAATTGCATAATTCTCTTACATCCTTTCGGCATGTAATGTAGTTAGATTTGTATATACCTGCTTAACTTTTGCATGTTTTACTTCGTTACAGCTTTCTTTGCATGATCATAAGTTATGCTTGGCTTTGTGCATTGTTCTTGCATCTTGCCCCTACCTTCGGGCGCATATCTTTATCTGTATCTTGAATGCTTGTCTGAGTTTTCGGCCTTGTCAAAAATGGGTCGTCT